TGTTAGAGATGTAAAAGTGAGCTTCTATGAGCTCGATACAAATGAAATAAATATCTGTGTCTGTCTTGATCTACATATATTCCTTAACGAATTTTGCACAGAAGATTGTGATAAAGACCTCTCATCTAATTTAAGCTTTGACTATTAGTTAAGTCACAAAAGCTATTTCATTGGTACATGTAATATGTGAGTTATTTAAGGGGATATTTAGTTCAATAGTATAGGCCTCCTAATAACAATAATAATTTGGGAGGCTAATCATGGCAGCTGGGATGCTGAATTGCGAAGGACGCGGCTACAACGTGGTCAAGCCGCTGGCACGTAAAGGCGCCTATGGCTGCCGGCCACATCGACCCATATATGACTACGGAGCACAGCCTGAGATCGAAAGTGTTTGATTTTTCCGGAGGGGGGGGGAAAACCGGAGGGCCCGGAGAAAAACCCTCGTGGCACAGGAGAGAACCAACGCACAACTCTACTCACATGTGTCCCGCGGCCGGGATTCGAACCGGGGTCACCTTGGTGAGAGGCGAGCGCTTTACGCACAAGCCACCCATGCCACCCAGGAGCACACCTCCAATGGAAAGACGGGCTAAATATAAGAATAAATCTCAAAATTTTGACAATCAAAGCAGTTGTTCGAATTACTCAAGTCACCATTTATTAAAACACTTCTTTTCTCTTGCAGATATTTGGGTATCAATAAGATATCGTCACTTCCCGAGGACTTGTTTGACAACATAACGATACTTCACACGTTGTAAGTGAGAACCAAAGATGATGGCTGACTAGATATAGCACAATTCGGACGGTGACCCAATTCTTTAAATTCTGCTCAAAGTGTAGCGAACATACAGCAGCATTTCGTAGTTAGATGTCATGACAACTACTTTCACTTGTTGAATTGAGCTTTCAATAAAAGCTCATAAAAGTTGTGGTCTAAATATTAGAACACAGACCGTCAATGATTTACACAGATTTTTTTCAAATCGCACGATGATTAAAGGCCTATAGCCTGTAAGGCATTCTCAGTGAGAACACAGATCGGTATGACAAAGTAGTCCGCTCACTTTTTATTCGTCCCCCTCAAATAACACAAATGTCGGTAATTATACTCATACTACAAAAAGGAATCACGCAGGAGATAAGTTTGTTGTGTCTCTCGCCACAGCTTCAATGTTTTAATCAACCTTCTTCAACCGGAATACCAAAGATTAAGGGCAAACCGGATACATAGAGCACATTAACATTAACATTAAACATTAGGAGGTACCCATGACCACCTCACGTAGTTTGATGCTCACAAGAAAACTGATTGTGATACCCAAGACCACAGTGACGATAGTGATACCCAGTGACCACTACCCACCAACAACGGCCGTTGTGAAAGCCTATTAAATCAGGCGATAAAACCAGTTAACAGGTAAGGTGCTATAACTTCAGCACTTAATTAAAAACACATTCCCCACAGCAGGCACATGTAGTGGGGGTATAGCCATTGTGGTAACTCATAGGCTATACATGTACATGTAGATTCGAGATTAACATGTTACTGGATCAGCCCATGAGGCACATCACGGGCCACAATGAATTTAGTTACCAAGTTGAATTTAGTTAAGTACACTGTAGTCAAATGTTCACTCAAAACCAGCATTATGGGGCTCGTTCTCTTCTGGGGCACCAATAAAAATGCCAAACGCGAAAAGCGACCCACATAAGAAACAAGCACCATCACTGCGGGAACTTACATTAGTGACAAAATGCAGGAGCGCAAATTTTCTCGAAAGGCTGCATTACCCTCCGGAGAGAGGTGAACCCCATCTCTCCGGTAGAGGTGAGCGGCAGACCAATGAAATTGGGGGTGATCAAGTACACTGATTCCCAGCCTGCGACATTGTGACCTAGCCCAGCGGTTAGTCGCTCGCCGTATGTGTTCCATGGATTTTTGGGATTGTGCACCATAGTAAAATAGCCGGGGTAATATACATGACCAAACAAGTTTGGTGTTAGGAAATCTCTCCTGACATTCTGCCAGCATGAAGGCTAGAGTATGCCGAATCGCATAGAAGTTGAGCTGCACTAAGTCATTAGTACCAACATGCATTACTATAATGCCTACATCACCAATGCCGTCCAACAAATATGCTAATTGATTCAAGCGTGCTCCACTTCGCCCATTCCATTGCACAGGGATACCCATATCATATGCTGCCCATCGAACCAGTGAATCCCCCACTATCCCAGCACAGCGTTGCTCATGTGGATGAACACCTAAAAATCAAATAAAAATATTTGCTTAAACCCTGTGAAAATTGACTATGGGGAAGGGGCGGAGGTAACTGGCTAGCGCGTCCGACCGCCATCGACCCATACGCTGTATGTCTGTGAAGGGAAGGCCCAATGCATATGCAGTAGATGCTGCCCCCATACGAAATGAGTGGGATCTATAATGTGAATTCGTGATGCCGCAGCCTGACAATGCAGACTGCAAAACTCTATTGAACTGGTAACGAGTAAGCGGTTGACTATCAATGTGACAAAAGAGGGGGCCTTGTGTTCTTGGGCGATTTTGAACAAATTGTTGAAGCGCTGCAACAGGGCAGAGAGTGGCATCAGCCCACCGACCTACAAGAACAATTTGAGGGGGGCCACGCTGATTTGTCTTAGACTGGCGCAGTGCCAACGTTACTGACTCGCAGCCGCTGGAGAAGCGTATGTCTGAAATGTGCAAAACTGCAGGCTGCACATCCCCCGCGAATTTGCCGTGAACTCACTAACTCGTAAGAAACCGAAAAATGCAAGAAGCATAGCAGAGCGAAACAATGTCACTTCATAATGTGATGAACAAACTTCAGGCAAAATTGCCATAATGCGCGAAAGCAGCGCCAGCGATATTGGTGACCTGCGGTCTCTTCGCGAAACCCCACGCCTACAACCTTCGAGTAATTTTGTAACCATATACGAATCAGTTGGGTCTGGTCTGCCCATTAACTTGTACTTACAACTTACCCCCGCGACGTATGTTGCAATTGTTGATGGGGAATATCGCCGGATGGAAAGCCAGGCGATGAACTCACCTATGCACTGCGGATTCACGACCCGACTACTGTATGTGGATTGAAGGAAACCACAAAAAGTATTCCACCCCGAATTGTATGCCTTGTGTGTATTTCGCGCAAAAGCCAACTGTAGCAACCTATGTATTTCCTGATCTACCATACTTGGGGAAGAATTGGAAGCGGAGTCATCACTGGCTCGGCCTGGGGGGCTAAGGCAAAGAAGCGCTGCATCTGAAAACGAGATAATGCATCAGCTTTGTCATTAAATACACCTGGAATGTGAGCTGCCTTGAAGATGATATTGAACTTCAAACACTCTAACACAAGTAAACGAATTAAAGGGAATATACAACATTTGCAAACATCGAAAAAAAAAACTACCAAGTTTTTGCGAAATACCTTAATAGGATGTTGGTAAATGACAGCCTGAAGCATCCTGTAAAATTATGGCACCTGGTATACTGTCATTTTCAAGAAAAGTGGTATTTTTGTATCAATTTCCAACGCTGATCGGCCGATCAGCGTTGGAAACAACTGGCTTTTTTTCAAATACTGGCCCCAATTGACCATTGCACTTGTTTGCAATCGATTACAAACCTATGAACGGGTACGAGCCAGCTAGACTGGTTCCCTGACCTTACAATTCCCCAATGTATGTAAACTGCTCTGTTTCTTCTTATATGGAGTCAGGGAACCAGACTACAGGAAAATGTTCGTTTTTCTTGGTTTTTATAGCATTTTCGAACCCAAAACCTCCAAAAAGTCAGTGCAACTATATTTGCTTTATATTTCCAACCCCCAATTCCATCCATTTCTGAAAATTACAGCAAAAGCAAATGATGTATATTCCCTTTAAGTGCATGCACTTTTCACATTGAGCAGATTGTCCGTTAATCATGTGGACCACTGCCATGTTATCAGAGTGAAACCGAACTCTGTGATTGGCTAAGATAGGCCCCCACACAAGGATGGCTACAACTACAGGATACAATTCCAATAGGGCAATGGAGGGTGTATATGATGTTCCTTGCCGCCAACGGCCTTGCAACCATTTCCCTTGAAAATAAGCCCCGATACCAATTGAAGCCGCTGCATCTGTGAAAAACTCAAGTGTTGCCGAAGATTCCCATTCATGCTTCAGCAGTGGGGTGACACCATTGTAATCTCGCAAAAATGTCAACCACATCAATAAATCAAGTTTTGCGCCATTCGTTATCCGCACCCTATGCCATGGTCGCTTTAACCCTTTGACAAAGCAATAAGCCGCCTAATAAACGCCCGACCCGGCGACACAGCCTTGCACACGAAATTAAGAGAACCGACAAGGGACTGGATTTGCACTAACTCTGCTTTTGGCTTAGCAAGCATAGCCCGCACTTTAGTGGTGAGCATTGCTACTTTGTCGGGCGGGACCCTTACCTGCCACTGATTCACATCAATTTCAAGCCCCAAGTATGTGAGAACCTGCGACGGACCTTCTGTTTTTTCCGTAGCAATGGGAACACAAAGTTCCCCACATAATGCTTGAAAATTGTCTAGGCGTGTCTGACATGACTGTCTTGATGGGCCAACAAACCAAAAATCATCTAGATAATGTGTTACATCACCCTCTTTGGCCATCTTGCGAACACTAAATTCTAGAAAAGAGCTAAACTTCTCAAATAGCGAACACGACATTGCACACCCCATGGGAAGACATTTGTCAAAGTAAAACTGATTTTTAAACTTGAAACCGAGCAAGTCATAATTGAGCGGGGTGATTGGTAACAGGCGGAAAGCCGATTTGATATCTGATTTTGCTAGCCACGCCCCCTTTCCTGCTTGAACAACTAAATCTACAGCCTCGTCAAACAATGCATACCGTACTTTGCACTGTTCTTCATCTATAAAATCATTAATTGAACCCCCGTATGGGAACGAAAGATGATGTATCAACCGAAAAGTGCCCTGTTCCTTCTTGGGTACTAACCCGATGGGTGAACATTGCAAATTTTCAAAGGGGGGGTGCGCGAAAGGCCCGGCAATCCTGCCTGCTTGAATTTCTTTTTCCAATTTCAGTTTGACCATATCCGGGTTCGATGAAGCTGATTGAAGGCAGTCCGAATCCCTACGAATCCTAGGGCCACTGTATCCAATTGAAAAACCCTTGGAAAACCCTTCCAACAAAATTGCTTTGTCTAAAATGTTGTCATAATCGCAAAGCAGCGAGTGCAGCACCGACAATTTAATTGGGGTTGGGAGCACGAAAATTAGCTTTCCCAGTCACCAAAGCATGTGCATTTTTCTTTGTTCCAGCTGAATCTACCTGACTGCCGGCCAAGGCTGTTTGTTGAACAGAGTGTGCATAGCCTTTCCCCGAAAACCCCCTTGCCCCCCCTGTTTGGAGGCGCGTGTGTACGCCAGGAAATCTGCATGTTGGTGAACCGTGTCCGTGACGACCACATGCAGCGCATTTGTGCTGATATTTACAGTTGACGAACTTACAGCCGTTCGGACTGTTGAACGCAAAGCATAAGCGAGTGACCGTGTGCGGTGCAGCCCGCGGTGCCCCTCCGAATGCGGCAGGGGCCGCTTCGTAAGACGCGACCGTCAGCCACAATTCGACATCAAGCTCACCCCAAGATTTGTGGGGCTGGGCTTCAAGCCGGAGACGAAACTGTTCGTCATATAATCGCCAACTGCGGCCAGGGAACTGAACCGATGCCGTGCGGACAATCTCAGTGTATTTCAGTAGTTCGTTAACCCGAGAAGGAAACTTAACCAGGTATATTGCCATAAAAGTATGAAAAGCTGACACCCACTTGTCCCATGTGTCCATTTTCTTTTGACGGCTTGTTTTGACCTGATTTGAACGCAAAAACATCTTGTCATTTTCAATGACTAGCGCGACTTCTTCCGCTTTGTTAGACCGCGCAAGTACCTCCGAAGCACTATCCGCGAACAACAGTGACATGTCTACATACTCATTCCGCCATATTTTGTCTTTTAATGACTGAGAAACATGCCCCCCAATCAATGATGTAGACTGAACGCGAGGGATAGGTTTCGGATTTCCGGAAACCCCATCGATTGCAATCCCCGGTAGGTTATTAACCAAGGGTGCCGACAAACCACTACCTACGTTACTGGTTACATTGTTACCCATGCCCCACGGAACAGTATACAAATGTGTGTCATTTGTAGCAGTGATTGGACAGGGGGGCGACGCAACTGAATATATAGGTATACCACGAGCACTATTATATAAAGGTGCCTCAGCTATTCGTCCCCCACTTGGCTTGGAGGAAAACCCACTGCTTGCCCACTTGAAATGCAAGATGTCATGCTTGGAGGAGATGTAAATATTGGCCTAGGCCTACTTGGAATTTCCCCCATCATGCCCATGGTAGAAATTAAGCTTGCAGCAGATGGGAATGACCTACTATTTCCCATGACCCCACGGAACTCACCCGACCCTTGGCCTTGGGGAGTAGAGGCAAAAACCGCCGGCTGATTCCCGACTAGGCCTAGTGGCTGTACCACCGTAGGCATAGCCGCCGAAGAGCCGGCCGCCATCCCACCAGTTGCTCCATAAGCCGCGGCTAACATCGTGGATGCAACGGGCCTCGCTGCGTCTATCACGGGTGCCGACTGCGCTGCTTGATCCAACGGTGCCGACTGCGCTGCCTGATCCAACGGTGCCCACTGGGTCAAAGGTGAAGGCTGACCATATCCATAATGACTTGGCATACCCATCGATGCCTGGTGCTCTGTTGTAAGCGGGACTGAAGCCGCCGTCTGACGTGGCTCATCAGGCATGGACAGCGCCGATATACCTGTAGCAGGCTGACCTGGTGCCCTGACGACACTTGGCCCACCGTGAATCTCGGCGACATGGACTGCGGCCTGACGTGCCGAGCTTCTCTGTGGCGCTGACGAAGATCTGCAAGCTCTCTTTCGTGGCCCCGGTGCCGGCCGTACGGACTCTGGCCTGCGTTTGGGCCTACCTCTTGGCATGTCCTTGTCTTTGCGGACTCCCCACGCGCCAATTGCTCGTAATTCCAATTCTAATTAAACCCGAAATTCGGGTGTAGAAAAGTTTTCAATCGAGCGTTGATGTTTCTAGATTGAAGCCGTGACTAAAAGTGAATTTGCGCACTCCCGATAGAATACAATGCGCTGATTGGCTGCCGCGCAATCCTAGCGCGGCAAAATAAAGGGAGAGTGCATACAACGTCCGCAATGAAGTTTGCGCACGTCCCGCAAGCGATGTTCTGTTTTTATTGGTTGCCCAGGGGTGTTCAGAATCCCAATTTGCATACAACCTTTCTTAATCAGGATACTCATGCACACTGTATGCTGTACAATTATTGAACACCCATAAGTACGATCAAACTGGATTTTGCGCTGAGTATAATAAATTTTACCAGTTATATGGTAAAATGTGTTAATACAGATAGCGTGTCTGTTTGTTGTAATCTAAACTCTTATGCTACTCTGTCTAACAAAACTGCTTTCATTTCTTTCAGAGACTTGTCTAAAAATAATCTTTCTTCGTTTCCGGCGGAACTTCTGAAGTCTCAACATAAACTTCAATATCTATATCTTCAACTCAACTACATAAAAGAACTTAGAAAGGGGATGCTTGACGGACTCCATTCTTTGCGAGAATTGTAAGATGTTGTGCCCCTGAATTAAGAACAACTGAACCCAACCCAATATCCAATGACCATATCCGAAAACATTACAGCACCAAACCAAACACCCTGGAAACCTTTAACACCCAACCTAGACTTTCGAAAATCTGCAACCCCCTATCTCTGAACTTCCAAAACCCCAAACCCACAGGGCCCGCGCCTTCAACAAGAAACCAAAACAAAGCTAAACATTTACAGAGCCCCACATATATATCTCGAATCAGTAGAAAGCAGGAGGTCGTGGGTGCGAGTCCCACCCGAGTGATTTTTTTCCAACTTTCACTCGGTAGGTAACACACTGAGTATACAGTGTTTGTACGTCGGTGAAGGGCAAAAACCTAATATTGATTTATATCACCTTGACTCCAAAAAAATGAAATCCATCTTATGAATGTAGCTAAAACCTGAACCTCAACTTTACCCCAACCCTATTCCACTTAAATCCCAAACCCAGAACCTCCAAAGTCCAAACCCTATAGCCCGTTTTTACGACGCTTCAATAAGCACAGAGTTTTCTGCTGATATTGGCTTGACTCATAGTCCTGATATTGGCGAAACTCTCAGGAAGATCTTGGTAATCTAAGTAAGCAAAATTTATATTAATGTGTGTTGTATGCGTACATTTTGTGGAAGAGCTGTTCAGTTTATATCACAAAACTACTGCCACCGTTAATTTGACCTTGTAAATCTGCAAACCCCTATTCTAAAATCCCTAAAATCATCACCCCAAGCTACAAATTGCTGTATTTAATTTCTGCTTTTTAGACAATTTAGAATTGTTTCCACGATACTCCTAAGAAATGAATGCCTCAAGTTTAATCTTGAAATCTTTTTGTTGTTTGAATATACTTACAGAGTGATAGGCGTCAATATGATCCACACGATAGATAACTATGTGTTTTCAGAGACACAGTTGGTGAATCTGTGAGTAATTTATTGAATTTTACTACATTAATAATTTCTGTTTTCCAGCCTAACAATTTGTCGGACAATTATTTTTTTTCGAGAACTTTCCTCGACAGGTTATACGTACCCTTTTTTCCCCGACCTTATTATACACTTTTGATTTTGTAATGCAATTAAATTAAAAAAAAAAGGATTACCACCGCTTTGACATATTCCTTTCATACATTGTGTGCATTTGTACAGAACTCAGCCATCTGTGATTATTATGTGCAAACCAATATTTCTACATTGTCGAAAAATCGAATTTTTTTAAACTGCTTTTCAAATTTGAAGTTATTTCAAGTTACTAATTACGCAGAGCCTGAATGAGACAGGTTTACCTATGACTGACGATCTATCCTTTGGTACTTGTTGACATTTTATGGCAGACAATTATTCCACAACAAGCTGACATCGCATGGACTTGGAGAACACCCATTTGCCACAAGAAACAAGTCACTACAGCTCGTGTAAGTCTTGAGAAGATTCAGACAGGTTAAGCTATCGTTGATTATCTTTGAAGTTTGCCAATCTGCAATATGCATGAAATACGGAGACTACCGGTACTAGTGTTTGTAATAAAATTGTCATTTCGGTTATTATTCATCCCCCCCCCCCTTAATGACTCAATTAAATTCCTTCGGCATCTTTCTGCCGGTATCAATCAAACCAACAACCACACACACATTTTGTTGTCAAAACATTAAGACTGAGATGAAATGTTTTATTCTCTGAAAAGGGTGTGAAAAGATGCTTGCAACAATATGATCAACATTACTGTCAATAAACCCATGAAAATAGCAACGAATATATATATTTTCTGAATGTGACTTATTTTATGCTTAGAGGTTTGCTTTGATGATCCGAATTTCTACATTGTTTTTCAGATCTTTATATCGCAACTACTTCGACAAAATCTGCAATTCTGCTTGGCAAGATTTAGGACAGAATTGCAACGTGTAAGACAATTGAATTCTGGGACTTCAGTTATGAGCAAAATAATAAGCAAAAATAATAATAAGGGACACTGGCTTGAAAGGTTCCTGTAAACAATATTTACTGCATAATTTGCACTGTGGATAACTTCGGTAGCGTAACTACCATTACTGAATGGGATGAATGGCTAAAGAGAAAAGAATTCTGAATTGGTCACTGAGTGTCGGCTACATAGGCCTACTTTAAAATGCCTCAGGCTGAAACACAGACATATAAACGCATTTATATGTCTGTGGGCTGAAATGACATCGCAGCAACAGCGCCCTCATTTGTTTTCAGCAAAAGCATGAAAGTGTTTTCAAATATAGACGTTTCAATTTTCAATAAGATTATCGCAACAAATGACGTCAAATGGTTTCCATAAATTTAAGTAGAAACGCAAAAACAATACGATTACTGTTTAATCATGAGTGTTTCTCTTTACCGTATCTCTTCATCTTCAGATCATTGGAAAACACACTCAAAGTGGTACCCTTCACAAGAGTGGACCTCAACATGTAGGTATTGTTTGTAAAGACCCGATTTTTACAGAGTAAGCAATAACAATGACCTTTATCAAGTCCAGTAAGTTAAGGGCCGAAGAGGAGAATCTCAAGGCCTGATTTCACCCCCTTGTTCCGTTCGATTGTATTGACAACGTCGATCATTAGATCGTTGCAGTGTTGCAGTGTTGCAATGCAGTGTTTTTAAACTAACGGTAAATGAAACATAATACATTCCCCGTCATGTACTATTATATAACCGACATACAGATCCTTGTCATTTGATTGGTGGAACTCACATCACGTGACATTCGTTATTGTTCCCATTCACGCCGCGGCTCAAAAAGTACTATCCGCCCATGGGGAATAGGAAATATACAAATATTGAGTGGATCAGCGTGGAATGGAGGAATATTATCGCAAGGTAAAATCTTGACTTTTCCATTTCACGTGGTGAAGCCGAGTGAACTGAAAAAGTCCAGATTTTACCAAAACCTGGGTCGTAACACGGCCTGTCAAAGGCCGCCATGTTTGTTTGAACTGTTTGTCTCGCTATGATTTTCAAGATGGCGTACCCTGATAAAGGTCTATTTTCCATAACACCTCACCTACAGATTCTGTGTCTTGATTGGCCGAGAGCGAGTCACATGGCACTTTCTATTTTTGCTATCTTTCTGTGCACGGATAAAAGTACTATACCCGTATCAACCAAAGTACTTTTGTTGATGCACCCTAACGTGGCGCGGCCCCCAACGTGGTGCACTTTGATTGTTTCGCCTGTAGCGCCAAGCTTGAGCAAAAGTTTTAACTGAAACTTCACATAAAATGAAATTACATCAAGTTCTAAACACTCCTGTTCATAAATTGCGAGTTTATTTACCCGTAACAAAGTTAGAAGAAACATGTATTAAGTGATTTTCCGATTTCATTTTCATGTGCAAAGTGAACCCTTTGAAAATGCCCCGAAACATAAGAAAATAATTCTCCGACAAACATCTAGCTGGGTGTGTAAGTAGCGATAATAATTATTTATCAGAATTTATCAAGTTTACAGAAATT